AGAGGCCATTTATTCCTACACTTTCATTAATTTTATGCCAACTATCAAAATTAGTTATGATTTATTTATACTCCACTTCAATCCTGAAGAAACTGTGACTAAAGTTCCTTAAATCCTAGTTTTACAATCCACTTTAAAAGAATTTCTAAAGTTCTCTAAAATTGTTTCATAAGCTGTTCAATAAAGATTAACCTCTGAAAAAATGAAGTATTTGTGACCTTTGTAATGAAATGGAGCTTTGTGTCTTTGATTATATTAGCCCAAGTAAACTATCCAAAGGGGATAGGAGGTGTACAATTTTTAGAAACACAATGGATTGTCCATGTTTAAATTCTGGTGGGTCACCATTGATTCAATCGAGCTAAGTCCTACTTGATTAGAAAGCACTCCAAAATATTTGGAGGCATATCCTTGTCTCCGAATAGTCCTAGAACCCCGAATGCACAATTTCATAACTAGAGGAATATGCAGTTTCACTGTGAGCACACCATACACTTCTGTGCTTTATTTTTCCCTAAGGAAAAAAAATCAGACATATTAAAAGCAGTTGCAACTTTGGCTGTACCGTTAGTGCCATTTCAACCTAAGTTGCTGAAGATTTTTTGGAAAATATTTTTGTTTTCAAAAGCAATTGAAAGACTGCCCCTAACGTGTTTTAAGTAAAATCCAATTCATTTTTAAAGCATGATTAAACAATCACCAGGTCAAAATGGCATGTTCCCCCTCCCTCACAAAATAATCCAATTCTTTTTTTCGGGTATCAGTAAATACCAACAGGATGATTAAGGCATAACTGCTTTTTCAGGAACAATTTACCAAAAATAAAGCCTCTCCTTTCCAAAAAAAGTATATTCCAGACACCCACACGTTTAATTAAATAGGTTCTTTCTTAAAGATAATGGAGAGATTTTTCTCGTCGTCAAGAAATAGTTATTATTTCGAATTTATCTTTTTAGTTAGTTCTTACTTCAAGTGTTATATTGTTGAAGAAAATCTTCATCAGTTAAACCTCAGGAGGTTTTTTTTTTTTAAAATTCTCGTTTTAGACATTAAAATGTATGGGGGAAGGGAAAGTGTGGAAAATATAGAATAACTCGTTGAGAATTTGATTGGTTTTCAATTAAGGAATTTTATAAAGATATCTTGTGGCTGTTCTTAAATTAATTCTGCATCGGAAGCCAAGTGATTTTTTTTTTTGGTCTTGAATAGTAATGATACAGATTTTCTTTACCAATAACGTATATATTAACTGCATTTAATATACCAGATACGTTTTATTTCTGTACCTAAAGAAAACCTTAGTGCCCGCCAGTGCTTAGTGACATCAGTAACAGCGCTGCCGAGTAGGGAGCTCAGCATTCATTTCCACAGTCGGAAAAAAGAAAAGGAGTTTATTTGTGAAAGTGCTATTTTCAACAAAATACGTGGCAAAAGTAATCATCGGCTCTTGACACAATAAACCAAACCACTGCTCTTTGCTCCCAATGACGTAGCAGCCCTGAATTTGACATTCAGCCTCTTTTGACCTGTGTGCGTTAATACTCTCTAGCTTTAAGGATTTTCTTTCTTTTTTTAAAATTTTTTTTTTGTTGTTGTTGTTTTTGTTTTCACAATCTAGAGAAGCGCCTCCCTAGTCTCAGGAGCCAGCCGAGTCCTGCACGGTCCCCGCCGACGGGCGCCCGCGCGGCCGGCGCTGTCCTCGGGCCGGGCCCAGGGCTCCGCGGGTCACGGGGCCGCGCCGGGCTGAGCTCCCGGGTCCGGCGGGCGGAGCAGCGCGGGCGCGGGGGCCTCGTGGGGCGCAGCAGCGGGGCGGCCGCGCTCCTCGTCGCTGGACGGCTCCCGTCGCTCCGCCTGCTCGGGGGCTTCACCTGCGCCAGCCGCACCCGAGCCCGAGGCCGGGCCCCGCCGCCCCGGGAGGCGGCCAGGTGGGGGCCGCGAGGGGCCCTGCGCCGCCCCCCCCGCCGCCGCCGCCGCCACGCTGCAGCCCGCTCTTCCTCGCGCCCGCGGCCCGGCGGCCTGCGGAGCCCCAGCGCGGGGGCCGGGAGGCCCGGGAGGAGCACGTGCCTCTGCTCGAAGCCTCGCGCCCCGCGCCCCGGGCGGGAACTCCCGCCGGGCCTCCGCGCGCCAGCAGCGGCCCCGGCGACGAAGTACGCAGGCGCCGAAGCTTCTAGACGCCGCCGGGCGGCCCGGCCCCGGGGCGCGCCCCCCCCAGGTGTGAAGTTCGGCGGCGTCAGGGGCCCTGGGAGCCCACGCGGGAGCCCGCGCCCCCGGGGTTGAGTACCTGGCTCGAGGCCGCAGCCGTCCAAGCGCGCCGCTCCGGGGCTCCGGGCCCCGGGCCTCGCTCCCCCGAGCCGCCAGGGGGGCGCCTGGGGCCCCGGGGCGCCGCGGGGGAGGGGGCCTCGGCGGCTGCAGGGGGGGGAACCGGGCCGCACGTGCCGCCCCGCTCCAGGGGCCCCGGCGCTCCGGGGCGCTCCCCGGCTCCGCCTCCAGGCGCGGGGGGGGGGGGCTGCGCCGAGGCGGCGGGGCCTGCGGGGCCTGCGGGGCCCGGGCGCGGGGAGGCCGCGGCGGAGGCGCCTTTCCCGCCCCCGGAGCTCGCAGCCCCCGAGGCCGGGCTCCGCGCGGGCCCCCGAGCCGGGGGTCGTTCTCCCAACGCGACCCCGCGTCGTGTTCTCGGGCCTCACGCGGAGGGAGAAGAATCGGGGGCGTCGGTCACTTGGCAGGGAACTTTTCGTTGTTTCCTCATTTCCTTCCCGCCCGCGGGCGAGCGGGGCAGCCGGTGGGCCGCGCGGCCGGAGGCGTCAGGCCAGGCGCTCGCACCTCCCGCTCTCCGCTCGGGCCCGGGTCGAACCGTCCCTCCCTCCCGACCCCGTCCTCTTCCCCCGCCGAAGTGAGACGCGCGTCCCGGTCGACTCTTCTAGATTTTCTTTTTAATGTTTGCGTTTTCAAGAAACTTCGCCCTACGCAAAAGCCCACTTGGCTCCTCCCGGCAGGAGCCGGAGGGTTTGGAGGGGCCTCTTAGCACGTGGGAGGAATGACTCGGATCCCCGCAGCCGCCGCGAAGCCACCCGGGACAGCTCAGCAGAAAGGAGGGTTGTCTGCTGCCAACATGCAGGACACGGATCGGGTTTTTTTTTTTTTTTTTTTTTTTTTTTTTTGTCGTTTTGTTTTCTTTTCCTTTTTGGCTCGGCTCTGAGAGCATTACAGAGCTATCCTTTCCCGCCTCCCGACCCTCTTCCCCTCCCCCTCCTCTGTCTGGTGCAGGCAATTAGGGTGAAGAAATCAGTGCCAGGTTCCTGCCTCTGAAGAGAAAGGAATTGCTTCGGGAATTGAGTCCTGACACCTGTCTCTGTCCTGGAAGGCGAGAGGGGATGCGGGGTCAAAACGCCTGGGGGGGGAGGGGGAGAGGCCCAGCTGACCGGGAGGGTAGGACCCTCCCCAGGAGAACGTCCTCTGGACACTCCTCCCTCCCTATCGTACGGCCTCCTGCTTCACACAGGTCATTAACACGCGAGGGTATTAACTCGAGAGTTTCCCCTCCTTTTAGGCTCCCCGAGACCAGGACCTGGGGCTGGAATCAGAAGAGCAACACTGACAAGCCATTCATTAATTTGCATTTATTTTCGGGAAATAATGTAGATAAAGGGGGAGGAAGGGGGACTGCCTTACATTTCAACAAGTAATTTGTGATCTTCACATCGGACAAATCAAATTTACAAATTACTTTCCCACCTACTGGACGAAAAGGCCAAAGCCAAAACTGATACACAGGCGCGGGGCTCTCCGCAGATTTCGGAGGAAGAAGGTGCACTAAAAACTCACTAGACAAAACAGGGTTGTTTAAAGAGAGAGAAGCCGACAGAGGAATTGGAACTGGGGCTTGGGGCCTGGGTTGGTTTGTTTGTTTTTCCTTAATGCCGTATTTTTATTTGTTTTTTTTTTTGTTTTGTTTTGTTTTGTTTTCTTTTGTGATTGGTCTCTAAACCAGAACTGGCGACCCTGTGCTTCGACCTGGGGAAGGGCTCGGTCCTACGTCCCCGCCCGGCCTAGCCCCCTCCCCTGTACCCTGACTTGGCTGTTGCCTCCACACTCTCTGGACCCTCCCGACCCTCCGCGCCCAGCTTCCTGGAACCAGAAGGTTCTCGTTAATAAATACACAGAGGGAGAAGGTGTGAGAGGGCAGGTCAGCTTTGCAACAACTGAAAAAAAAAAAAAAGCGCCATCGTTTAAGGAAGAGAGAGGAGGGGGGACAGAGGGAAAATATTTTTTGCTTTTGTTTTATATATATGTGTGTATATATATGTATATATATGCTGTATATATCTTAGAGTTCTATTTCCTGGGCGCTAAGACGAGATCTGTTCAGTTCAACCAACAGCAACTAAAAAGTTTAAGTGGTCCCTGGAACGGACCCGACTATGTACAGCATTCCCGCCGAGGCGGAAGCTTGAGCCAGTTCTACGCAGGGCGGGGCTGTGCGCGAGAGGCTGGGGGCGCGCTCCTCCCCGGGGCCTTGTCCCAGCGCAGCCCGCCGGGGAGGAGGAAGCGCCGGGAAGGTCTGGCCCGCAGGCGGGGAGCGGGGCCGAGGGCAGCCGAGGGAGCGGTAGTCTGCAATCGAGAAACACTCAGAAGTTGTTTTGATTTGGGGCAGAGTGGGGGTGCACTCCAAAGGGCAGACACATGCCAGTTAGTGACTCCAGTGTCCAGAAAGAATAAATAAAAGTGTAGGGCTCAAACAGCGAGTCAGAGCAACGAGCCTCCGAAGGCCGCAAGTGCATAACGACTGCCCAGAGAGACTGGAAGAGAGTTGGCTTAGGAGTTCGTTAGGGCTGGAGGCGGGGGGGAGAGCACACAGCCCTCCCCACGTGGGCAGAACTTGTGGGCCAGGCCGGGGCGCCGGTCTCCTCATCCGAGGGGTGGGCGGGTCTGCACATCCCCCAAACAAGTGGCAGAACGAGGAGGGCGGCAGTGCAGGCAAAGGGCATCTTTTAGGGGCGTCAAAATTCAGGTCTGCAGAAGCCGAGGCAAAGGCGGGCGGTGCAGCAGCAGCAACAGGACGGGGACCACGGAGGGCGCAGGTAGTTGCGTTTCTTCTCTTCTTCCTTCCACTCCTGGGCTCACAAGACCTGGAACCGCCACGAGGCCTGGTCCTTATAGTCCAGACAGTCGGGCGAATTGAAGTTGAGTTTCCAGGCGGAGGAAGCGGCGGCGGCCCCAGGCTCCTTGTAATCCAAGCAGTCGGCGGAGTTGAAGGCGAGCCCCGAGCCGCCGTAGCCCTGGTGGTGGTGGTGGTGGTGGTGGTGGTGGTGGCCCGAGGACTGGCTCAGCGGGTGGTGGGCGTGCGGGTGGTGGTGGTGGTGGCCGGCCATCGAGGAGGGTGCCATCGGGCTGAGCTGGTGCGGGTGGTGATGCGAGTGCATGGGCGCCAGGTACGAGCTGCAGTCCACGCCGCCGAAGTAGGACGAGGAGGGCGCGGGGTAGCCCTGCGCGTAGCTGCCGCCCTGGCTGTAGGACATGGGGTAAGAGGCGGCGGCCGAGGCGGCGCCGGCGGCGACCGAGCGCTGCATGCAAGACGCGTTGCTGGGCGCGGCCAGGGGCTCGGGCACCGACACGGACGCGGGCGCGGAGCCCGGCGAGATGGAGGCCGGACTCCAGATGGACGAGGCGGCCGGCGTGCTCAACGACGACGGGACGGCCACCGCCGGGTTCCCGCCCAGGCCTGCCGCCGCGGCCGCCGCCGGGTTGGCGGAGGCGCCGGATCCCGAGCTGGAGGACGAGGCGGAGCTGGACACGGCGGGCGGCGTGAACTGGCCGCTGCTTTCCGAGCCCGAGCTCTCCCGCACCGGGGACGACTTCTTCTTGGCCGGGCGGCTCTTGGTCCCGCTCCCGCTCTGCTGCTGCTGGCGGCATTTGGCGCGGCGGTTCTTGAACCAGACCTGCAGCGGCCCGAGGAGGGAAGAGCGCGTCAGGGGGTCCCTGGAGCTCGCGCGCCGCCCGGCCGGGCCAGCCCCCGCCCCGCGGGCCCAGCTCCGCCACCCGCCCCATCCTCCTGGTGGAAGATCCTCCTCCGGGAAGCGGGGCTGTGCACCTCCCCACCCCCAGCGCAAGTCCGCCCCCGGGCGGAACGCCTGCGTCCGTCCAGTAGAAGTCCAGGCACCTCTGAGCTGCCGCTGGCCGCTCCCCAACAGCCCCGCGCACGCGGGGAGGCCCGTCCTCTCTGAACGGGGCGCACGACGCGGCGGAGGCGGAGGGGCACTGCGGGGCGGGGCGGCCACCGCGTCCCAGGGGGAGCCAGCCGGGCCCTGGAGGCCCCGGCCTGGGCCAGGCGGGAATTTGGGCGGCGGCGGCGGCAGGCCGGGAGGCCGACCAGAGGCCGTGCCCTCGGGGCGCCCCGGGAGCAAGCCCGAGCACAGTTTCGTTGGGCGTCTTGGCTCCAAGTGGGGAACCAAGTGGCACAAAGTTCTCACGCCCCTTGGAGGGCCCCGGCACAGGGCTCGGGCGTTCTCCAGGTTCTTTCCCGGGCCTCGAGGGCAAGGGAGGCGAGATAAAAGGCCCTTGAGAGGTCGGAGTTATAATCCAAACAGGACTTTTATCGCAAAAACCAGAAGCAAGCCAGGCCCGTAGCCGGGTTTTGCGTTTGGCATCCTCCCGGGGCGAAGGGAGCATCTCCCCAAACCTGCGCCCCCCCGGGGCGCGCCCCGACAGGGCGCCAGGCTCCGGCCGAGCCCCACTCGGCCGCCTCCAGGATCCCGGGGACGCGGGGCGAGGGCGGAGGCCCAACTCAGCACCCCGGGCGCCTGGCGCTCGGGAGCCCCGCCTGCCCTCCCGACAGCCTGAGGACTCCCAGCTGCAGGGGCCGCGGGAGGCGGCCAGGGCAGGGCTCTGAGCGGGCCCTCCAGCGGGGCCCCTCGCCGGGCCGGGCGCTAGGGGGAGTCGGAGAGGGCCTGGCCCGCCGCGGGCCCGCCCCACCGCCCCACCGCCCCACCGCCGGCCGCCGGCCCGACCCTCCCCAGCCCGCTGCCCCAGGGCCCGGCCCGACTCCGGAGCCCTGGGCACGCGCACCTGGACTCTGGACTCCGGCAGGTTGATCTTGAGCGCCACCTCCTCGCGCATGAAGATGTCAGGGTAGCGAGTCTTGGCGAAGAGCGCCTCCAGCACGTCCAGCTGCGAGCGTGTAAAGGTGGTGCGCTCCCGCCGCTGCTTCCGCGGGGTGGCTGAGGGGACACGCGGGGGCGCCTCGGGTCAGCGGTGGCCACGCGGACCGCGCTAGACGACGCAGACAGGCCCCTGGCAGGGCTCTGTGCGAGGCCGTTGCAAAAGCAAGCCAAGCTCCAAGCGAAAGAAAACTCCCCCAGGAGGCCGAGCCTGAGAGGCCACAGGTGGGAGAAAGTGCATGTGTGCGACTGGGAACCAGTGTCGTCAAGACTCCAGAATTGCCCCCTTCCCTGCCTCTCGGAGGTTAAGAAAGGAAAAGAAGTTATACAATCTCCCTTCCTTCACCACCTCCCCCCCAACACATCCCCTGGCTGGAGGATGGGAAAGGGGTGCGCAGACACACCACCTGGAAAACGCTTTTCGAGGGAACAAGTGGAGATGAAGGAGCGGGAGCTGGGGCGAGGGGAGCTGGGAGGCGGCTCAAGCCTTCCACATCCACGGTGCAAAAGTTGGTGCAGACAACGGATGTAGAGGACAATTCAGTTAGGGAGGGAGAGCCCCTCTTCTTCGTCTCAGCCAGTCACTTCCCATAAGAAAAGCCTGGCCCTTCCTGTCAGGGCCTAGAGAGTGTCCAAATCTCTCTTTCAACATTGGGAGGAAAGGAATAGATTCACACACATACACACACACACACACACACCAAAAAAGCCACCCATGAGAAACGAATCCTTGGGTAAATGGGCCCTGTGCTGGTGGTGGGACCACAAGAGACGGCTTGCCCAGCTTCACTGGCCTGGCCTGCCTCATGCACCCGCCACTGCCCTGTGAGCCGGCAGCGTGCAGAGCACAGCAGGCAGACCTGCCATCCGACTCCCCGGGCCTCCTCAGACACCAAGTGTGTGCTCAAACTCAAGAGTCTGGGCGTCCCCAAGATTTGCAGGGGCTGGGGGCAGGGACTGGTGCTCACCCGGGTAGCCCACGGAAGGGTGCAGGAGGTCCATGGCTGGCCCGGCCAGGCCCAGCCCGTTCATGCCATATGGGGGTTGTTTGAGGTAAGACATCATGCTAACAGCCGGGTGGAGGCGCCCGGACGGATCCAGGGGGCCGGGGCCAGGCGCAGTGCGGGGCTCCCACTGCGCAGTCCTTCAAACTCTGCTGCGTCGGGGGGGGGGGCCCGGCCTATGGAGACAGGAGACACAGGTAAACAGTGACTGGGAGCCATCTCGGTTTCCTGGTCTCGTCGGAGGCGAGCAGCCGGGGGCTGGGGAGGGCACGCAGGCTGCGGAACTCGGAAGGGCGGTCAGCTTGGCTCTACAAGGCCTTGGCCGGAGGACCACAGCTTCTTTGAAAAGTCAGCTTTTCTGGATCGTCATCGCCTCTTCTCAGGCGTGGAATGGGTAAAAGACCCTCGTGGGGCGTCGCTAGGAGTGCGGAGAGGCTAAAAGCAGGGCCAAGCTGGAAAGTGAGGGCCTAAAACGCCGGGTGTGCAAGGTCCCAAGTCTAGGCCAAATTCTGGTCGGGTAGGAGCCGGCCTCCATACTGCAAAAGCAAACGTTTACTCGGCGCCAGTGAGGCAGGCTGCCCAGGGCACCAGAGGTTGTTTCGTTTCGTTTCAAAATGTTTTTGAAAAGCGGGATGAAAAGGTGGAGGGTCGGGGAGAGCTAAGGTGAGGCGCCGCGGGAGGCTGGCGGCACCTGGGCCTCTCTGGGTGGCAGGGCCCACTTAGGGTGCGCTCCTGCAAGGGTCTCCCCGCTGGGTCTGGGCCCCCCGAGCCCACGGCCACCCTGCCAGTTGACCTCTCAGCGCCGGGCCGCGGAGAGGCCGCTCCCCGGGGAGCCCAGCACACCTGGGCCGCAGTAACAGGCCCGGGCCCACGGGCGGCCTGGAGACGCGGCCGCGGGGGCCGCGGGGGCGCCAGGGCGCGGCGGGGGGTCAGGGGCGCCCAGGCCCCGCCGCAGGCCCCCTCCCCGACAGCGCCCGCCCGCCGCCGCTGCCTTCTGCCCGCTGCTGGCTGCGGACTGAGCGGCCCGGGCGGAGGCCGGAGGGCGGCCCGCCCGGCGCCCCGAGGGGTCGCGGATCAGGGAGGCCCGGGCGCCGCGCCCCCGCGTGCTCCCGGCCTGTCCCGCCCGCCGGGCCCGCGGCCCAGGACCCTGCCCAGGGCCGACGCGACTAGGCCTCGGCGGCGCAGCCCGCGCTGACCCGGGCCGCCAGGTCGAAGCCTGGCTCCCCGCTCGCCTCCCCGCGAGGCGCCGTTCTCAGCGGCAGGGAGTGGAGCTGGGGGGCGCGGCCGGGGCCCCAGGGGACCCTGCGCTGCACCCCGCGTCGCGGGGGATTCAAAGCAGGCCCGGGGCCGGGCTGGGGAGTTCGGGGAGGGCGGGGAGAGCCGGGGCGGCCTCCCGCGCCCCTCCTCCAGGCCCCACGGTCTGGGCTGGGGGACCCCAGCTGGCAGGGAAAGGGGGGCGAAGGAGGGGCAGCCCGGGGCTCCGGGGCCCGAGAGAGGGGGGCTCGCCGGGCCGCCGCGCCGCTGCCGAGCTGCAGCGTGAGTTTCCAAAGACTTTCTTCAAACTTAGCACTTGAGCTCGCTGACTTCGGAGGAGGCGGGGGAGGGGGCGCGGGGCCGCGGCGGAGATCGGGGGTCCTCCGCGCGCCCGGAGCGGAGCCAGGACGCCCCCCAGCCCCGCCCACCTGCCGGGGGCCTGGGGAGCGGGGACCGGCTCGGGGGCCGGGGGCTGGGAACAGGCGCCGCGCTCCCGGAGCCAGGGCGGCCCCGCGCTGTCTGCTTACCTGCCCTCGGCTGCCGGGGCCGCTCACCATCTACCTCGCGCCCTCGCGCAGGCCCGCGGGGCAGCCGACCTGCAAAGACAGAGGGCGCGGGGGTTACTCGCCGGGCCGGACGGCGGGTCCCGGCTCCCCGGGGTTCTTGCTTTCCCCAACTTCCCTCCTGCCTTCTCTTTCTTCCTGGTGGCTTTGTGCGGGTCCCCCCTCCAGGTTTCACTTTATTGCACAGACACTTTGTTTGCAAAGCCCCACGCGTCCCCGAGACGCCACGTCGCCCGGGACCGCGCCGAGGGGCCGCAAGGGGTAGGCGGGTGGGGGGTGAGAGGGGCAGAGTTGGGGGGCGGCTCGAGGCTGCAGTCGCAGTCCGGGTGCAGCGCGGAGGCGGCGGGGGCCAGGGGAGTCCCGCCGAGGCACTTTGCAAACTAAATAAATCAAGCGGTTTACCTTGTCGGAGTGGCTTGTCTTGCCGGGTTGTTTAGGTGATTGGAAATGTAGCCTGATGAAGATTGATCACCTTTCTACTGCCCTCCCCGGGTATGTGAACGCGAGGTGAGTGCGTAACGGGGCCGTGCTGCCAATCCCCGGCCCCGCGCGGGCTGAGTGACAGCGAGCCGGGCAATGGCAGCCCGAGCCGGGGGTTACCTCCGCGCGCCCCCGCCCTCCTCCGCCCCCTGCACCCCGCCCTCGGCGCCCGCCCGCCCCGCCCCGGGCGCGCGCTAACTCCGGGGCTGGGCTGACAAACGCGGCGCAGAGCGAGGCGAGGACAGCGGCCGCAGCGCCAGGGCCCGTCGGCGGAGGGGGGACGCGGGACCCGAGGCCGGCCCGGGGGGGGGGGTCCCCGCCCTTCGCTCGCCCTGTCGGCGCCCGCGAGGGAGTGGCGGAGAGGAGACGCGGGGCCGGGGAACCGGTTCCCGGGCTCTCCCGCGCGCCACCCGGCTCGGCGGCGGGGCCGTGCGCTCGAGGAGTCCGGAGCCGCGGGCTGCAGGGCAGTGGGGGCCCCCCCGGCTCCCCGCGGGCGGCGCCCCGGGCCCCAGCGGCCCCCTTCCCCGCGCCGCCGCCTGCAGACGGACGCCGCGGGGGCGCCGGGGGCCGGGGGCGCGGGGGGCGCGGACCCCGCCTGGGCGCCTCGGGCCCCGCGCCCGCTCGGCCCCCGCGGGGGAGGCCCCGCCGCTTCCCCGCTGCTGCGCGTCCCCCGGGGCCCGCGCGCCGGTCCTCGGCGCGGCTCCTCGGGCGTTGGAGCCCCGCGGCTCCTGCCCCCGTACCGTTCCGCGCCCCTCTCCTCCTGCCCCGGGAGGTCTTAACGGGAAACTTTCCCTTCCGCACCCCGCCTCCTTCGCGGTCGCCCCGCACCGGGGGCGGGGGCGGGGGCGGGGGCGGCAGCCGCGGCCACAGCCCCCCGGCCTCCGTCTCCTCCTCCCGCGCCGCAGAGGGAGCCTCCTCGGGGCCGTCGCCCCGGATTGTTCGTATGGCGAAGCCCATTTCCCAGCCGAACAAACTTCTCAAGCCCGCGTACCTGCTGGACGTCTCCAAGCGCCCCCCCGCCCCCACCCCCACCCCCCAAAAAAGGTTTCGCCCCAACCTTGAGCCAGGCGGTTCCTCTTGGCGGCACCTCCTTCTGAATATTAGGCACCACTTGGGTCCCTTTCGAGGAATTCCTCCCCGGCTTCCCTAGTCCCCCCTCCCCTCCATCCCAACAGGCGGAGTGAAAAGTTTGAGCAGGAGTGAGCGCGAGGGCGAGTCCGGGAGCCGCGGGGCGCCGCGCCGTGGGAGCGCCCGCCGCCGGGGCCGCGAGGTCGGGCCCCCGAGCGGACGGGGCTGGGGCGAGGAGGAGGAGGAGGAGGAGGAGGAGGAGGAGGAGGAGAGGAAGGGGGAGCCGCGCAGTCAAAAGGGGCCGAGGCCGCCGCTCATCAAAGTACTTCCCCCTCCCCCCAAGCGACACTTTCCTTTGGAGCCCGAATAAAATACGGTAACAGAATATGATGGAGGGCACACTGTTTCCTTAACTGCTTCTCAAAGGACCCGGGAGATCTTCTTAGGACCTTTAATAAGGCTTTGGTCGGTTCTTTTGTTGATCTCTCAAAATCAACTCCTTCTAATTGAAGTTGGAGCTGAAAGCGAGCTAATGTTCAAAGAAAGTGGCCGCCAGACCAACGAAATTACATTTTTTTGTTGGGGGGGGTACGATGAGGGAACATCTAATCAAAGGGGCAGAGGAGGAGGGGTGGGAGTGGGCGAGTATGAAGGAGAAAAGGAGGTTTTACAAGATCCTTCTCTGGTTCACAAAAGTCAGCGACACGGGCGCTTCTCTCCAGAACAAAGACACCGCAGCCCATTCACAAAAGGGAAAGAAAGACACACACACACACACACACACACACACACACACACACACGGAGGGAGGAGAGAGAGAGAAAAAACAATAAAAGAACGAGAGAAAAGGGAGAGAAAAAAAAAAACCACAGGAAAGAAAAAGCTTTAAGAGGAAAAGAAACTGCGCAGAGCGCAGCGCTGACCCGGACCCGGGCGGGGACACAAGTCCTAGGTCCTCTGAGGCCCCCTGGGCGCAGCCCCCGCGACGGGCAGGCGTCTGGAGGAAGGAGTGAGGCGCACCCCGCCTGCGGTTCCGGGGAGAGGCGCGGGCAGGAGGGCCCCGGGTTCGCGGGCAGGTCCCCGCGGGCGTCCCCGGCCCAGCCCGGCCCAGCCCGGCCCGGCCCGGCCTGCGCGCCCCGGGCCCCGGCCGCGTGCCCCGGTCGCGGCCCCGCCACCCGTCGCGCGCCTGCCCCGTCCGGGCCCCGAGCCGCCGGCGGCTGCGGCGGGGCGGCCGTGCGCGCAGGAATGTGCCCGCCGGTCCCCAGGGCCCGCCTCGCGGGCGGCCGGCGCTCTCGCTCCAGATGCTGCCGCGGTCTCGGGGAAGTTGGGACGTATCGAGTAGCACAGCCCCCCCCCCCGCGCGCGCCCCTCTAATGAGCATATTTATCTAATCCCAAATTGCAGGAGATTTTTCTTAATGCTCAACCCGTAAAACCCCGGGATTAAGAAAAGAAAGAGAGGGAGCGGGAGGAGTGCAGGGAGGGAGAGGGACTGGGATGAAAGTTTCTTGCACGCGGCGCGGAGGACGGCGGCGGCCGTCGGTCGCCAGGCAAGTGTCCAGGTGGGAGACGCCGGGCCAGGAGCGGCGGCCGCAGGCGGGGAGGGCGCGTCCGCGCAGCGCCGGGCCCCCGGGCCGGGCCGGGGCGGGGGGGGGGCGCCGCCGGGCCCCGGAGCCAGCCCCGAGGTGACCTCGAGGCCCGGCCAGGCCCCGGGGGACACCTGGGACGGGGGGAGGGGTTTGGCTCCGGGGTCGCGGGATCCCGGCCAGGGGCGGAAGTTCCGCGCGCAGCCCGCCGCCCGCCGCCCGCCGCGCTCCTCCTCCGCCGCCGCCGCCGCCGCCGCCGCCGCCGCGACCCCCGGGCCTTTCCCGCGGCGCGGGCTCCCGGGTTCCGGGCCTCTCGGCGCGCCGGGCTTGCGCCTGCGCTCGGCGGGCAGCTCTGGGCCCCACGCGGCGAGCCCGGGGCGCGGGCCCGACCCCGCCGACCCCGCCGGCCCGCGCTGCGCCCCCGAGCTGCCCCCGGGAGCCCGCGCGGCCCGGGCCCGGGGGGAGGCACCGCGGCGTGGGCGCGGCGAGGCTCCCGGGAGGGCAGGCGCCGACCCAGCGGCCCCGGGGCGCAGCCGCCCCTCGCTCGCCGCCCTCCTGCTCCGGTAACAAGGGCAAAGGCTCAGTTGCATTGAGTTCTGGTAACTTTTCGATAACTTCTTAAAAATCCTTTTCGAGAAGAAATTCTAACCTTGGCAAGTTGTATCGTTTTGAGAGACCGGCAAGGGGAAGGCGGCTGCGTACTTTCCGGAGGGGATTTGTGTGTGTGTAGACAGCCAGGTCCGCGTGTACGCGGGCACGCGTGGCCCGGGCGCAGGTGCCCACGCGGGGGGCTGTCGTCGCGGGCCCCAGACTTGTTGAACGAGCTTGCTTTGTCTCGGGCACCTCAGCGGCAGTGGTGGCAACTGCTTCCCAATCGCCAGGTTCCTCCTGGAGCCTGGACCTTCTGGTTCCCACTTCCCTTTCCTCCACGGCCTGCACGCACACCTGCACGCACTTCCCTCCCGCCGACCAGGCCCCTCTCCCCTTCACCCCGGCACCCCCGCGCCTGCGGGTCACCAGAAGTCACCATCTCCCCTCAGGAGTGCAACACTAGTAACCACCGAAAACAACGTGGAAAATTCATCAAGACAGACACTAGCGTTTTTTTTTTTTTTCCTTTTCTTTTCCGGTGCTGTGGAATCACAGATTTCCTCACAGCTTTCTCACCAGAGATGACCCTTTACGAAAGATGAGAGTTTGCACTGCTTAGGAAAATACGACTAATTGCTTTCCTTCGCATTCGTGTGTCAGCAGGGCCCCTCTGGGATGGTGTGAACTTACTCCAAATACAGCCTAGTATCCCGCTCCGCATCCAAGAGGACCATTTTCTTTTCCCCGTGAAAGGTCTTACGGACACACAACCCTCTCAAACCAGTGTCAGGTTCTCATTGCAAGGAAGTAGCAGCAGTGGTTAAGGTAAGAAAGTTTCTGCTTTTATTGAAAATTTATATATGACTCAGTATTGTAATAAATAAAACAGATAACCATTTTCACAAAAAAAATGACAGTGCTATGCTAGAGAAGAAAATATTAATTGGGGGGGATTTACTCATAGTGGCAAGACAGACTTTTATCAATACAGAATAAATACTAACAGCATTCTTGAGCCAATGTTGAGACCCAACAAAATGTAGGGACCGAGCTAGATGTAATAAATAATTATCCGGAGAAAAAGATGGCGCATTCTCAGATGATAAAACCGTCTTTGTAAACTGATGCATGTCAATTAGTCCCATCCTCACAGCTCACCTTCAAATCACAGGACTGTCTCAGGCTACATTAAAGGGCCATCCTCTGAGGAGAGCAGAGGACAGGAACTCTATTATCCTTACAGTGAAATGCAAAACAACTGCAGAAAATCCCACTGGTAAATAGAACACAGTTTAATAAGTAGATTGGATATGATCTAACTATAAAATTCAGGTAACAGAGTCAAGTGTTACATATGGCAGGACTGGAAAAATCATTCATGACATTTTTCTTATCCCCCACTTACGTACCCCCTCCCACCATTATGCTATTAACAACAACAACAACAATAATAACAACAACAAAAATGTTCCAAATTTTCCTCCCATCGAAAACTGAGGGGAAATAACGAGGGAAGGGTTTTCTTTTCTTTCTTCTTTGAGCCGTCTCTTGAACACTCTCAATACCAATCGTTCACAAGGTATCTGTGCAAATTTATTTCACATGATTTCAAGGAAATGATTAAGTCACACACACACACAAAATCCTTAAACAAAGCTCTTTTGGAGTTCTGTGTATTATCTGGAAAGGAGGGAGGGAAAGGGGTGGTGGTGGTGGTGGTGGTAAAGAAGTACAATCCAGGCCCCCCCAAAAAACGTTAAAAGTTTTAAGTCAACAACGAGTCTGCGAGTCTGACATTTTCGGGTCTGGGGACCAAGCGCCCGCGGTTGGGAGGGTCTGGTCCGGCAGCTACTGAAGGACACACTTCTCTTCTTTCTTGGCCATCTTGCCTTTGTTTTGTTCCAGAGTCCGCTCCAAGTGCTCATCTTCCTCTTCAGCCCTGGAAGTCACACAGGAAACAGACTCATCCTCCTCCGCGGAGGGGAAGCCGCCCTCGCCCTCGCCCTCGCCCTCGCCCTCGCCGCGCGGCCCGGCCCGGCCCGGCCCGGCGGGGGCTGCCCGGCCCACCCGCACCCCGCACCCCGCACCCAACTTTCCAGGAACTTCCCGGCCCCGCCGCCCACTCACTGCTTCTCCTGCGCGTCCAGGTCGCGGACGAGCGCGTCGCGCTTGTTGACCAGGGCCACCAGCTCGTCCAGCAGGAGCTGCTCGCGCCGCTTCTGGGCCTCGGTCTTCTGCCAGTCTGCGGAGGACGGGAGGCTCGTTACCCACCCGCGGAGCCTCGGCGCACCCTCCCCCCCTTCCCGCCTTTTCCAGTCTCCTCGCATCTCTCCGCAAACCCCGTGAGGGAGCCACTAGGGAGGGTCTTAGGGGGAGTGTGGCCGGCTGGATGAAGATTTCACCCCAAGGCCCAGGTCCCTAAATCCTTCCCGCAGATGGAGATGGGCTGAGGCTGGGCTGGAACCTGCAAAAGAGACCAGGTGTGAGCCGTGGCCGGCCGGAGGTGCGCACCTGCTTTCGCCAGAGGGGGGGAGGGGAGTTAGAGGCCCAGGGAGGCTCGGCCGGAGGGGAGGGGGGGAAGTGGGTAAATGAGGGGGCGGGAGGCCGAGATGGGCGATAGAAACCACTCTGAAAAGGCTAGAGAATCTGCTTGAGAACCTATCCTCCTCCCCCACCCCCATGCTCACCCCATACAGCCCATTCTTCGCTAATTTCCTCTTCGCTCTATTTTAGCAGTTGGATGTATCTCACACTGGGCGCCATATGCTTCACAATAACTTTAAAAGTAGTGAATCGGCTAATTAGCATTTTTCTTTGAAGTAAAAAATAAATTTGCTCTGCAATATTACACTGCAGCTCTCGATCGCATCACAGCCAGTTTTCTTTTGGAGAGGTTTGCTGGGTGGTTTAAAATCAAAGCACTTCTGCAAAGGAAAAATTACATACTTCTTTTTGAAACCCTACGTTAAAGGTTGGAAAATCCGATGGGCAGTGCTCTTTCCCTACATAGGGGCAGGGTCTTTTGAAGGTTTTAGGACCCCAAAATATATTTGCTAATCATCGCTGGTCTGATAATTTCCTTAAGATGAGCAGCAGTTTCGTTTAATAAAAACAGGACCAAATCGAACATTTAAAGCACTTTTAAAACCAAAGCCAACTGCTCTCTGGCCAGACTGTAAGGGCTTGTAGCTGTCAATCAACCCCCAGTCTACCCCGCCTCCCTCATTAGGAAGGTAAACAATGAAAAGAAGAAGTAGATGATGAGGCAGATAGCAGAACAAATGAGGACCTAGAGGGAAACAGGACACCAGCTTTAAAAAAAAAAAAAAAAAAAAAATCCAGGGCCACTGACTCATGCAGCCCCCTCCCCCAGCGAATGCACTTTCCAAAAAACAGAGAGGAGTGCAATCCTTTCGGGTTTCTCTCTTCTCTCTCCATTGCCCTGGGCAATCATGTTAAAACTCACATGGCTGGTGCTTATTCAGATAAACCTAACAATGCACACCGCTGGTTACCATGTGAATCTTCACAAACCACACAAGAATGTGCTGGTTCAAATCCCCCCGACCCCCTCCAAAGCAAAATTTATTCAAGACAGCAAACTGCTCAGCAGCTTTATGAAAGCAAATGGTGCTAGAGGGAATTCTATCTTGTATTTACAAATTAAAAATTAGATGCATCATCATGCAATAAAGGTTAGAATAGCAGCAAAAAGCTAGAATGGCTTATTCCATTTCATCGCTATTCCTTTCTTTATAAGCTCAAATACATACATACGTACATACATACATACATACATATGAAACATGCCATGTATTAATTATCCACCCTTGATACAAAAATCACACAAGTAAGTACATTAAATAACTGGTCACACTGCATTCTTATAAAAAAAAGAGGTGAAATATCCTATAGCATGGGAAGGAGTAAAGAAACTATTACTATGCAAAGTTTTTTTCTGAATGTAAGAATTTTTAAAAAATAATAAAACAGCAAAATTGAAGAAAAGCCATATCCATCACAATTTTGTTCTTTGGATTTAAATGCAACTGTGGTCAGGAACGCTAGACAATTTTCTAATTTGGTCTCGTTCTAATCAGTCTTATTCCACACAGGAGCAAAATTAATAGGCACTCCAGTTGGAAGGATCTTTAAGGTCATCTAGTCTAATTTCAGGTAACTATAGTTCTAGAAATATTAACTTAGAGAAAAACCTGATAAATTTATAAAAGATTTGTAACTAAATTTTATAATTAGTAAGATTACCAGTTTTGGTGAATATTAATTTTTCCACTTTCAACCTCAAGAAATCATTCAGATTATAAGCTTTATAATTCCTTACTTCCAAAATATTTTAATAAGAGCTTCACAACTGGGAAATAAATTTCCTCCACCATACACTTAAAAAATATAATTAAATGGAAAATTACAATTTTTTAAAACCGAGAAAAAAATAAATTTTAACAACAGATATATAATTTTCTTAATTGTTCCTTCTCTGTACTTGACCACTTTTAAGGCTTTAATTAATAATTAGAAATATCAAGATAAATAAGGCTTTAACAATATAGATGAAAGAAAACTTTTATTTTTTAACCCCTGAAGTACTGAATAATTTTTAAAATCTTAACTTTTTCCTAGTTCAATACCGACATTTTCTGTAACTGTAACAAAAACATTTTTAAAGTTATGAATATGTAGGTTATTTTCATCGTTTCACAGTGAAATTTACTGACATTAGAATTTAAAATGTTGCAGCCTAAGTTTGATTTTTCATATTAAATTTGTCATTGCTATATTAATATCTACAAATTATTAGTCAAATGGAGAGGAAACAACTAAGTACAGTGAGTAGATTTTACACTAGCAAAACTACTTTTACTTTGCATTTGCTTTTTTTATGGTAGTAAATTTATACACATACACACACATATTTGCTGATTTGGGAAATTAAGTAAGTAAACTTTTGATGATTTTTTAAAAAAAATCAATACCTTAATTATTGATCAAGATCCACTTTCATCTGTTCACACCTAAATTTAAAAAATTTTTAAATCCCTTTTTAGTAGCTTCACCTAGATGTAATGTCATGTTTTTAAAACCTCCATGTAAGTTTATGTGTTACCTGTTATGCATTTTAAGAAAGGATTACTCACCTATAACACCAGTCACAGCTAGCTAGATACACAGACTTTGACTTGAACAGACTACAATGTGGCTTCTGATTAATTTAAAGATTCCAGTGTACTTTTGCTACAAAAGCCATATCCTCTTGCAACAAATAGGATTAAGTTTTGATGCTGCATTTGAGCCAAAGTGTTGAAATAAAGAGATTCTGTTTATGTCCATCTGCACTGAGCTGTTTTGTTAATTTAAAAATCTCTTTTTTTTATATATAGGGCCAATTATTCATTCCCTGATTCAGTTTATTTGCTGAAGTTGATAATTACCTTGGAAAAAAAGGCAAAAGAAATACCTATAAATACTTTGATAGAAAGGACCTAAAGTTCTTGTAGTAAACCTTCAACCTTGCCACTATAAATAAGCCTGGCACTTTGATGAAAATTAACACTAGTTTTGTAAAGAGCACATTGGGGGATTGCAGTCAAGTCTTATCTTTAGTTCCAGTCAACTAGCAATCCTGAAAGAGTTTGCATCATCATCAGAGCAGGCCATTTGATAGGATTCTACTGCTGTACCTAATCAATCTATGGAAGACTGTGGCTGTGCTGTGTAACAAAGCTAAAATAGATTTACAAATGGGGTTTTAGGGGATAAGCTCCTCCACAGGATTACATATTGATTTTAAATATAAAAAGCTTATCATATAAACCATAACTACAAAAATAGTGAACCTATGCATAAATCCCTTTAGAAGAGCACCCACTTCAAACTCTAAGCCAAGAATAAATCAAGATGTACAAAATCCTAGAGAAGATCCATTTCTTGTGCAGAAAATGAACACACCACTTTCTAAAAGCCCACCCCAATGTGTGCAGAAATGAATTTATCTTTCCTGAGGGGGCATTAAATAATCTGGAACAAAAAAACTATAGGAAAAGTATCTAAAAGATGTTTGTTAGCTTAAGGGATCCTACAACTTAGCTCAGTAGAGTGAAACTCCTGCTATGAAAAACACCTCAAGGGAAAAAAAGGCAAAAAACAGGCCAAAGCGATTATGGATTTTCAGAAGAATGGATATATTGAATTTTTTCCCCTCTCAAACCAAGCTGTTAATATTTCTTTCAATGTGCTATGTGGCTATTAACATTCTGTGCTTTCTCCTGGTGAATGGTTTCAGCAGCAGATTTATTTGAAAAGATTTTAATTTATTTATTATGAAAAACATCTTATGGCTACCTACCTAATAGAGGAGATGGGAAAAAAAGAGGAATGAACCTTAAAACAAAGGAAAGCCAAACAAAACCAACTAGTGCTGCCTATTCATGTGTATTTCTGTGGGTTTTAATATTCCAAAAGGCCACTGAACTGCATGTGTATACATTCTAAGCGCTGGCTCAGAGGACAACTGTGTTCACAGAACTGATCATCACGATAGTCAGTACCTGCCTAGGACAGCCCGGCCCAAGCACTGCCCAGGCTAGTGGGACAGGCCTCTTACCAAGAAAGTGCCTTTATTTGTCATCAACAGGCTACTTCTTTCCCTAAGTGTCTTTTTTCTCTCAACCAGCAACAGAAACTGGCACAATCACATATGGGACAACGATCTTAATTAAAAAACAAAACAAAACGGAACAAAACTTCAAAAAAAACTACCAATTGTATTAAATGTGTTTGAAAAAGAAAAATACTTTTTCCACTTCCTAAAAAATATGACTTTGTGCTGATATGTACAAGAACAGGCTGATAAAATGTTCAGTTATTCGCGACTGTAGGTTTGGTATATAGGGATAGGACTACCTATAAAGATGCGATCTTTTGTATGTGTCATGGCCCTCCTTTTAAGATGGTATTTGGTAATAAAACTGGTTTGAGAATAGAAGCAATATCTGCCTTAAAAGTCAACTGTATTGTATCATGCTGTATTTGAGGGGTAATTTAACTTACTATACATGAGACAGTGCTTTTAATACTCTGTATTGAGTATAATGTATAAAGAATAAATTATATGACTCATACATTATACATACTAAATATACATATATTTTATATTATACATACATATATATACCATATAAATAGTATCTGCTATACCCACTTTTCAACTCTTTAGCTTTCAAATCTCTTTTAAAGACTACACCATGACTACAAAGGTATATCACAAAGAAAAATACCATTTAGTATACCTGTGCATTTTATTTCAATGGCAAGTTTCACAGGACTTCTTAAGTAATTTTTAGACATTTTATAGTCATTATCAAGGTATAATCTGATTCATTTAGATAGCCATTTGAAGGAAATTAGGTATCAGAAGCCTTTAAAATAAAGTAAATCTGATTTCTGAATGAGGATATACAAATGTGGTTGGTCATATTTATCAAATGAGAAAACAGATATAAAGTAATTAAAAATAAAACTTGTAGAAATGTTTAAGATTACATTTAGATAAATAGCATATATTTCATTTATTCTCAATATTAATTAAAATATTTAAAAAATACATAGTTTCATTTGGCTTTCCCTTACAATCTTAAATTTCTAGTTTCTAAACTAATTAGAATTGGCTTATTATAGGTCAGGTACCTTATCAGGTAAAGAAGGAAATTACTATGGACAGTCAATGGGTTAAGAGGTCAATATAGAATAGGAAAATCAATTTGCATTGATTAGACAAAAGGTCCATTTTACAGAGCCCCAAGGATTAGTTTTTAAGCAGACATCTTTGAACTCTAAGACATTTTCAACTAAAAGGCATAAGGAGAAGTGCATTCTTAAACACGTAGGATTTTTTTTTTTAAAGTCATATATGGTAAATGCCATAGTTAAGGTAGCTGCTGTTTACTGATATTATGAACCATGCTTAGGATTACTATATAATTCATATAGAAGCTTTATGAAAAGTATGAAAGTAATTTATCTCATGTCAATCTTTGCTTGAATATTCACTTAATAAGATCTTGGGATCTTAAGAACTATAGTGGACTGTAGACATTTCAGTGTTGACATCAATTAAATATTAAGGTAAAATTTAGTTTGATGTGAAAAAATAAAAAATGATAAATCTTTCCTCACCTCTTTCATGGAAACAGCCTTAAATTTCACACAGTAAGATGTAATTATTTAACTCCTTATATTTTCCATTTTACAGATATTTCAGCTTACTGACAAAGTTAAGACAACTCTGTGTTCAATAGCACACATAATGATTATCTGAATTAGGGTTCTTAGGTTTTATGTGACTGTTGCTTTCAAACTCTAAGGCATTTATCTGTAATTCCTGTTGGTTCCTACTCAGGCCACACCTAGTGAGACCAGAAGTATATTACACTCTCTTCAAATCTCTTTGACAGCTGACACTTCACATACCTCACTCCACCATAGCCATTTCTTACCTTCAATGGCTAGCATTGCCCGCAATTCCCGATTCAGCAGCTCATACCGTCGTTCTAAATCATGCTCTTTTTCCCTAGGCAAGTTGCAAAAGTTCATCAATATGCTAATTACTAAATCATTAAACACTTAAAAGAACCTTTAGGTTACATTGATTTTAGGACTCATAACTGACTTTTCTCTTTAACTTTAAGCTACTCCAAACAAATGATACACAAACCTAAAACCTTCCTCAGGTTGAATATTTACTAGTGCTATTATTTTTCTCCGTCAATTTTGAATTGCACAGAGGTATATTTTAATTTTCAGATAAGTAGTCTCATTCTTCAATGCTTCTTGTATTAAGTGTCAAGTATAAGGCTATTTTGTGAAATATGTTTCATAGTTCACAATAAACACTCTTTTGTCTGGAATGCCATGTGAAAAGAATACGAGAAACATGTAAGTACCACCAATGCAAATTTAATAGAGAGACAATTAAAAATCCAGGAAGAGTTAAGTTTTATGCTTAATCAGGTTCAGGCATGGCAGAAATGACAAAAATAGAGGTTTTCACGAAAATAAAACATGTAAGCCTGATCCTTCCCACACTAGGTGGCATAATATAAGAATATTGCTAGTGAACAAAAAGAAACATGCAGTAAGTCCTATAGTGAAGTGCTAAAGACCAAGAATGCTTACATTTGGTCTAGTCTCCATTTTACTGTATACAAAAGTGATCTTATGATTGGAAGAATTTCCCAAATTTAGGGTAACATCATCTGTAGATTACAAAAGTACTTTTGTCCTCATTAAGTTATTTTCATTTTTAACTTAAAATGTGATGTTAAATAAACTTCAATTTTATTTCTTTTCTCCTCTAACTCTTAATATAATCCAAATCTCCTTTTTGTGCACAAGTGCTTTATTTCTTAAATATGAAACATTTTTATATTCCTTGGCTTTCTATATAATAAACATTTTTTTCAATATATATTACTATTTTAAAAAACTTACTGTTCAGATGAGAAATAATTATATATTATTTCAATTTTTATTTTTATATAAACTATACTGTAATCTCCAAGGTAAGAAAAATATTAAGCCTAATAAATGTGAAATCCCAAAGAAAGCAATGACAAAAAGCCTAAAATTCATCAGTGTTGTAGGAAAAACAAGCATAGTCATGGGTACTTACAGGAGAGAAAGCTGGTTCATTCTCCTTATTAAGGCATTTTTCTTATTAACCAACATAAACCATTCCTGCATCATAGCTTCTTCTTCTTCTGTGTTCCTTCCTGTAATTCAGCAAATTATTTATTAATATGACATTTTACAAGTCAAATAATACCTGAGCATAAGTGGTTTCTTTTACATGAAACATATTTTAGCTACCCCAATAGTACAAATTAAACTGTTTATAATAACATAATATTAAAGTCTAGGGTCTGAAAAAAAGAAATCAATATCTCAAAATTCGTAAGCCAATCTTCTAAAACTGGTATTATTCAGCATGTATATTTCAGTCCCCCCAAACATATCTACAGATCAGACTAACATTAAGTACAGTTAAAAAAAAAAAGTGTTCCAACTTTTAAATCCTCCCCAGAGGCTGACTTGTTATTATGTTTCAATGAGGAACTCATGGTGCTGACAGATATATGGTCATGATAAAAAAAAAATTAAAAAATCATTATGAGAATTATAAGACTAGCAGGAAGATCAGAGAAGTCCAGAGATTTTGTGAAAGCTTCCGCTTGTAACAACTTGTTTTTTTTATTTTCCTCCTCAAAAGTAAACTAAAGATATATGTTCATATACCATTCTGGAACTCATCATCTCTAATATGGCAAACACATGCAAATTATTTTAAATACACTGTAAATGACAAACTACAAAAATTACTTATAGCTATCTGTGAAAAGACACATTATAATGAACATAATAATGTTCGGTAAATCCTAAAACATTTCAGCAGAGAGATCTAAAATTTAGATTTACTAATTGCACATTTAACATTCACTTTCCATCATCTATACCACTCTCCACCAGAAGCCAGTATATAGTAATATATAGTATATATTTACTATTGTCCATGTAGAAGTAGGCCACAATCACATTCAAGAAAAATATTAATCCCCCTCCCTCTTCCCACCTCTCCATTCAGATTGTACCTAGTCAAATTTATAATTCTTTGACTTTGTTTTTTTCTGAATTTCACCCATGCCTGGTTTATTGTTTTGCTAGGCCATTATTTAATACTTCAGTCCCACTTCTGTATAGATGCATAGGGCTAACTTAAATATCTAATAACAAATAAAATATTCTAGCTTTATTTTCTTTTTAAGCAAGGTATCTTCTTTTAAATTTCAAACACACTACCAGTCCATTTTAAAAATTCAGACAATAGATATCTAAAGTAAGTGAAAAGCCAAGTCTTTCACCAACCCCTTCCTCTTCAGTTCCCCTCTTCATCTCCTTTTCCCAGCAGTACTTCCACAGTTTAGCACATCTCCTTCTAGACCAAACAGATTACTATGTGTATCAAATGCATGCATATACCTTATCTATATATAGACATATACAGGTTTGTTTTCTTTACCATAAGTGAGATCATATTATGTATTGCCCTGTGATTTGCTCTTGTTATGCTGTTCAAAGATCTACCTCATTCTTTTTAATACTTGCATAAATTATGGATATACCATAATTTATTTAACTATTTTCACATTAATATAAATCTGAAGAAATTTTAAGAATGGAAATAGAATATAAAGAGCTGATCTGTGTGCAAAAGATTAAACAGGTACTTCAGAGCATCCCTGTAAAATACTTATCTGTTGTTCATCATTAGGGAGAATAGTGAGGATACGTGCCTTCATTAAATGCTATTAAAACTTTATGGTATGAAGCAAACGTAGGATAGATTTTTCTGGAGTATGAACAAAAGTCTTTATTGTTTTACAGTATTTTTAATCTCTCTTTTAGGGTAGCTGGTTTTGTATTCACTTTGGACCATGTGATGTCTTGACACTGGTCATGTGATACAGGCTGCGATACGCACAAATCCCTGGGTAGCAACAAAAGAAGAAAGAGTAGAAAGAAAAAGCTGAGAAAAAGCTTGCAATTTGGAAAAAGGCCAATTGTACCCTGGTGAAGGCCTTTTTGATCAGTGAAATGACACATGTGTGCAATATTAATAGGTGCAGTTTTTATGATATTTTATTTTCTGACTAAAGACTTAGTTCTTGTGCTCATAACGTAAGTGGCTTCTAAAAATATAGACATATTAAAACTTTGTTCTGAGTTTAACTTAACCTATAATTGAGGCTTTCAGCAATACTAGAAGCAACTAGCCTACTCTTAAATTAGCATCATTTTCTTCAATGGAAGACTGCTTCCTTGAGAATAACAATATTGATATGGTACTGTGTTATTTTCAGTTTAACTCCTGCCTGTGATTTCTAGGTAAGAATAGAAGATCCCCCTCCCCTAATTGTTAGGAAATGACCGATAATACAAGAGTCTCATGTTTCAAAAGGAAATAAGCCTGACAATAACAAATATTTAAAGACACATTACACTCTGCTACATAGATTACAAAAATTAACTGAAAAAAGCATACTTGAGGTTAAATCAATTCTGTATTGCTAACTCCTTATCTGAGATAGTATACAGTGATGGAAATCTATACTTAGCTTCGTAATAAAAAAATTAAATTTTCTTCTAATACATCATTACACTATTGTTTTTCAGGATTTAAAATTTTTTAAATTTAAAAAGCTTTTAAAAGCCAGTAAGTTGAACCATTACAAATTAATCCTGACTTTAATAACTGGTTAAAGACCCCTTTAGCTTTATAAGTAACAAAAAATATTAAAGCCTGTGATCACAGTGAGCTTTTCTCATTTCTCCTCTAACCATTTGTTATTTAATCCAATACTAGTAATCCAATTTGTCCATCAGACTTTTAAAGGGCAGAATGCAACTTCCTCAGCTTAGACACTTTTCAAAGTACAATATATTTTTCAAATGAATGCTGGATGTTTCATTTTTCCCAACTGTTCCTAGCTCTAATGCATGAGGAAAAAAAGAACAAGATGAACATTGTTCATACTGATTAAGTAAGAGCTCATTAAAGAGCTGTCAGTGCGGTACTTTGAATATGCATGAAGCATATAATCAGATCTAGTACCGTCACTAGAGGAGAATACGGTAAGTACAAAGGATTGATTTAATTACTTAGAGTGGGCTGTGGTGGTAAAGCAGTCTTGTTAGTGCAAAAAGAAAAAGAGGTTGTATTCTGGCACTGTTAGAAAAAAGGCAGTTTTAGCTTCTGCCACAATACATAATCTCGGAATAAAGCACTTTACATTGTAGCTTAAAATGAAGACTGTCATTATTTTATAAAATGGCCATAAATCATTTTATCTTGTTTAACCCCACCTGGTTAACTACTTGTCTTTCAAAATTATCTTTAATTTGTAATTACAACTACATCTTTGTCACCTTAGAGTGAACAGGGATACTTTTTAAAAATCTCATTTTTTTTTCACTTTCATGAATTGGAAAATTAAAGACATATACAACTGACGACCATTTCAAAATAAAGAATGACAAAATCCTACAGGTCAGCATACAATTACCAAAATGTAAAAACATGGCTGGATTTTTATACTGTAGTTTTAAAGCACAGTGCCTCATGTAAGTATACTACAAATAACATCACATTAACATTTTAAAGTATTGACTAATTAATACAATCTCTGGTAATATTTTTCCTACTTTTTTTTTCCTCAAAGACTTCTGTTTTTTATTTTGCCTCTAGGAATGTAACATCCTTTCTAACATCACTATCTCTTAATGTCAGTTTTTTCTTTTAACCAATTACTACACAGCTGGGATATGATTTGTAAAAATTATTAAATGATCAAGAATAATGATAATGGTGGGAAAAGTAACTGTAAATATGACATCAAATCATTTTATGACACAGTTCACGAAAACCACTAAACAGAAAGCAGTGTAATACACAGCATTACATATAGTATACTTAATAAACCCAAGTTGACTATAGCAACCATTTTTATATTTCATCTCCTCCAAAAAAATGATTTAAATTTAGTTAAGATTTAATTTCATTCAAGAATTCATTCATTCATCCAGGAATATGTATGTAGTTTTCATTTATTTTTTCAGAAGCAGTATTTTCAATGTAAATTTTTAAATGAATAAAAGAAAAGTGATGTCAAAACCCTAAAATTATGAATCATATATTCAAAATTTATCTGCTAATTAATCATTCCTAATTAATCTTTCATCATTAACTTATTATCCATTTAGAAAGATATATTTTTAGACAGTGAATTCTTACATAAATACAAAATAAGGAACAATACAATTTTAGCCAAACAGAAGATGAATTAAGCGGGTAAGAGCGAAAACACAAAGATGTAGGCTGTTGTTGTACATATAAACAAATTCAAGATTTTTCTACCATGAAAATATGAAAGAATGCTGAAATCTTGCCATAGCTCCAAAGCAGAGATGGCTGACTAGTGTTCCCATATGGCCCTTAAAGGACACAACATAACAAAGCCAAACCAAACATAAAAACAAAAAAGTTGCCATTACAAATTGTCCTGATGGTATGATAACACCAACATGATGACCTTTGAAAGACATGATATATTACAACAGAGAGACATATGAAGGTGTCCAACTAGCTGGTACTGGAGAAACACATTTTAATAACAAAGGAAGTGAAATCTGTTAGATTTAATGGATGAGAAAGATGAATTTACTGTAGTTATGTAGGGTCATGGATACATGAACTCCTAAAGCCATTATTACTGAAGGACTCCAGTGCATTGGTTTTAGAAAATATTTTAAACTTAGGAAATAGAGCTTTATTATGAAATTTTACTATATAAGCAAAGAGCTGATAAATGTTTCTACCCCAAGAATATCCTCAAACAGCAATCAACATAAATGAAGAATCTCATAATCTTTATTGATGTTTTCTGCAGCAATTTTCTTCAAACTATTTGCTTAACATGATATACTTGTCATGGCATTAAGAATATAAACTTTGGGGAAAATCCTCTCTTTTCGTTGCAGTAAAATAAAAACTATGATAAACTCTCTCAAAATAAACAAACCTTTTATTTACCCATTTGATAAAACAGATTCAGGGCAACATCTCTCTATAGATAACTTCTGATAGACATCTAGCATGTACTTCTTACAGGAAGAGGGAACAGACAACTTCACCAAAATTCTTCTTCCATGAAATTAT